TCGTTCCCTCCCACAGAGGCTCCACTGCAGACTCTCCACCTGGACGTGTGGGGCCCAGCCCGCGTCCGTGGACAGGGCCACGAGCGGTACTTCCTGCTGGTTGTCGACGACTACACGCGCTACACCACGTTCTTCCCCTTGCAGCGCAAGGGGGATGTCCCTGATGTTTTGATCCCCTGGATCCGCGCTGCTCGTCTCTAGCTCCGCGAGCGGTTCCAGTCGGACTTTCCTGTCCTGCGTCTGCACTCTGACAGAGGTGGTGAGTTCTCCTCAGACCTCCTGGCGACCTTCTGTGCAGAGCACGGCATCCTCCAGACTTTTACGCTTCCGACCTCTCCGCAGCAGAATGGGGTTGCTGAGCACCGCATTGGCTTAGTCATGGAGGTCGCTCGTACCTCCATGATCCATGCGGCTGCCCCCCATTTTCTGTGGCCGTTTGCGGTCCGGTACGCCGCGCATCAGCTCAACCTTCGGCCGCGTGTCTACTTGCTGGAGACCTCGCCCACACCGCTATGGACGGGGAAGGTTGGCGACGCGTCGCGTTTCCGGGTCTGGGGTGCTCGTGCTTTTGTCCGCGATACCGCTGCGGACAAACTCTCCCCTCGCGCCATTCCTTGCGTCTTCCTTGGCTTTGTCCCTGACGCGCCTGGCTGACAGTTTTACGACCCCGCCTTGCGCCGTGTCTTTGCGTCTCAGGACGTCACCTTTGACGAGTCGGTCCCCTTTTACCGCCTCTTCCCCTATCGCACTGCTCCTCGCCCCCTCCCGCCGCTCTTTCTCGCCCCAGGTCCTCCCCACGTAGACCCCCTCCGTGCGCCAGGCCCTGCTCCCTCAGGTGTTTCTCAGGTAGACCCTCCCGTCTCTGCGCCTGTTGAGGTCACAGGTGACTCCGGTTCTGCTTGGAGTGGTGCTGTCCCTGGGGGTGCGGAGCTTGGGGGTGCGCAGCGTGGGGGTGCTGAGTCTGGGGGTGCTGAGCATGAGGAGCCTGAGGGTGCGGAGCCTGGAGGTGCTGAGCCTGCGCGTGAGGAGCCTGGAGGTCCTGAGCCTAGGGGTGCTGCGTCTGGGGGTGCTACGCCTGGGGGTACTGAGTCTGGGGGTGAGTCGCCTGAGGGTTTTGAGACTGATGTTCCGCGGTCTCCTTGGAGTAGCCGTCTTCGTCCGCGTATGCCTCTCACCTCCCAGCAGCTGCACGATTGGTACGATCGCCATCAGCGTCGCGCTTCTGCACCTCAGGGCTCTACTGCTGGGGGTTCTTTTGTTGGCGTCACTGGAGCTGGGAGTGGTGCTGGTCCTTTGCCTGCTAGAGGTGCTGGTGTCGCTGGTCCCGGAGGTGCTCGTACTTGGGGTACTAGAGCTGCTGGGGCTGACGGTGGTGTGTCTGAGGGTACTGCTGCTGGTGGCACTACGGTTGGAGACCCTAGGCCTGGAGGTGCTAGTTCTGGGGGTGCTGCACCAGGAGGGGCTGGAGGTATTGAGGGTGTTGGAGCTGCTGGAGGTACTAGAGCTGCTGAGGGTACTGGAGCTGCTAGAGGTGCTGGAGCTGCTGAGGACGCTGGAGCTGCTGGAGGTACTGGAGCTGCTGAGGGTACTGGATCTGCTGGAGGTGCTGGAGCTCCTGAGGGTGCTTGAGCTGCTGGAGGTGCTGGAGCTGCTGAAGGTGCTAGAGCTGCTGGTGCTGGTGGCACTGCACAGCCGCACCTGTTCTTTGCTCCGCTGTCTCGGTAGTCTCTGCCACCGCCTGACTCCATACTTCGCCAGGTTCTTAGCCTCTCGTCGTCTACTGGTCTTCCGTTACAGCCTGGCTCACATCTGCCTGCTCCTTCTCCTTACACTAAGCAGACAGGGGGCCTTGCTATCTCACCTGTCCGTTCTGGTCGTTCCAGTCGTCGTGTTCCTCGCCAGCGTCAACCGGCAGTCCCCGACCCTTCCCTTGTAGTCCGTCGTCCTTCCTCTCCTCCGCAGCGTGTTCCTCTGCCGTCTCCTCCTACGTCTTCTCTGCCTGTCGTTACAGACCCTGAGTCTGACCGGATTCATGCTGAGCACCCTACTGTCACGCGTCTGCTAGCCACTGTAGTCACTGACCCGTCGTTTGAGTCTACTGCTGCGTTTGCCTTTGTCGCTGAGCTGGTTGACTTTGCTGCTGCCTGTCGTCTAGACTACGCTGCTAGTCTTGTTGCTGAGTCTGAGTCTGTCTGTCCTCCGTCCGTCGGGGTGCGTGTGCTCTTAGCACGGACGTCCTTGAGGACAGGCAGGAGGACCTCGAGTGTCTTGCGACCGCTGCGTCTCATCTCGTGGCCATGCTGCTTGCCATTCTCCCCCAACCCGGATGCACCAGACATCCCGACCCCGCGCTCTTACGCTGAGGCGATCGCGGGTGAGTATTCCTCTCAGTGGCAGACAGCCATGGACGCAGGGATGGCATCCTGGAAGACCAAAGGCACCTACGTTGACGAGGTTCCCCCTCTTGGGGCGAACATCATCAGTGGCATGTGGATTTTCAGGGTAAAGCCGCTGCCAGGTTCTCCGCCTATCTTCAAGGCTCGTTACGTTGCTCGTGGTTTCAGTCAGCAAGAGGGAGTTGACTTCTTCCAGACATTCTCCCCCAACCCGAAGATGACCACTCTTCAGGTGCTGCTGCACGTTGCCGCTCAGCGTGACTACGAGCTTCACTCGCTTGACTTCAGCACAGCCTTCTTACAGGGCAGCCTGCACGAGGAGATCTGGCTGCGCCGCCCACCCGGCTTCACTAGGTCGTTCCCTCCTGGTACCCAGTGGAGCCTCCGGCGGCCGGTTTACGGTCTCCGCCAGGCGCCACGTGAGTGGCACGACACACTGAGGATGACACTTGCAGCTCTTGGGTTTGCTCCTTCGACTGCTGACCCGTCGCTGTTTCTACGCACCGACACTTCGTTGCCGCCGTTCTACATCCTCGTGTACGTCGACGACTTGGTCTTTGCCACTGCTGACACTAAGGCTCTAGCCCTGGTGAAGTCAGAGCTGCAGAAGAGACACACGTGCACAGACCTGGGTTAGCTGCGCAGCTACCTTGGCTTGCAGATCACTCGGGACAGAGCACGCCGCACCATCACACTGACTCAGTCACACATGGTGCAGTAGGTCCTTCAGCGCTTCGGCTTCACCTGGTCCTCAGCACAGGACACTCCTCTGGCTACGGGTCACTTGCTCTCAACTCCACCTTCGGACGAGTCGGTAGAGCCGAGTGGTCTTTACCCAGAGCTAGTGGGCTGCCTCATGTACTTGATGACCTGCACTCGTCCTGACCTTGCGTACCCTCTTGGCCTTCTGGCTCGCTACGTGGCTCCTGGTCGGCACCGAAAGGTGCACATGGATGCTGCTAAGAGGGTGTTGCGCTACTTGTGCAGTACATCGGGCATGGGGCTCGTGCTTGGAGGGAGGAGTCCAGTTGTGTTGGACACTTCTTGGGTTGACGACCAGGCTACACAGCGGTCGTCACAGGGTTACACGTTCAGCCTTGGTTCCGGCTCTATTTCTTGGCGGTCTACACGCTCGTCTTCTGTTCTTTGCTGCAGTTGTGAGGCTGAGATCTACGCCACAGCCATGGCTGCACAGGAGTTACGCTGGCTCACCTACCTGCTGACCGACCTGGGAGAGCAGCCTCGTTCTCCTCCAGTTCTGTACGTAGACAACAAGGCCGCCATTGCCTTGGGCCTTGTGCCTACGTTTCCACACTTGCTGTAGACTCTACTTGTAATGTGATCTATACATATATATACCTGCATGGTTGATCTTGCTAGCTAGAGATCACTGTGCTATTCTTGTTGCTTATATACTCTGCATGTGGACTGGCCTTGTGGCCGTTTGCTTGTGCTCAGTGTGTGTGGTGACGTTTTGATCCACCGTGAGCTGTGTTTTGTTTCTTCTCTTGAGTGGTCTTGTGACCGTTGCTTGCTCTGGCTTTCCCCCATTTCGCCTATGGGGGTGTGTCAAAACATATGCATATCATTATCTAGGCTATATTGGGGCTAGCCTTAGAGGGTACAGAAACTTTCTCGACACTCTAGCCTTGTACCCCAACCTTGACCTAATCTCATCATTCTTGCCTTAGTTCTTAACATTGCTCGCCAAGGGTTTTATCCAACCGAGCACGTCACCGTTTGCAGCACCGATACCGTTCACGCCGAAGAAGGCCGGGGGCCTTGAGGCGTACCGGTAACACCAAGGCATCAAGTCACACTGATTCGGACTTTCCAAGATGTAGGGGGTATAGGAAATCGAATGTAGGTACAGGGGTGTTCGGGCCAAGATTCCTGCAAAGAGCTCAACTCACACTAGTTAACCTCTCTCGGTTGAGACTCGAACCTGAGTTCTTACCGGTAGCAGGCCGCAATCTTAGACCACTACGCTAATAGCACTGTTTGCGTTGTTTAAAGCCCGGGTACAGCATGGTAATTTTCAAGTTCAAGATTCTTGAACTTGAAATCGCAAAAAATAGGGTTACCCTACTTGTTTTGAAGAAATCTCGCAACCCGACGCAATCGTCCTGCGACAACGGAACCCGAGTGCCCAAAAACAGAACTGACGCGAGTGCCCAAAAACAGAATCGCCCAAAAACCCTAAACCCTAAACCCGAGTGCCCAAAAACAGAATCGCCAACCATATGCACTGTTCACCACTCACATAACTTGCTTACCAAGTCGTACTCATAGACTAGGAGGCTCCAAGACAAAAACTAGCACTAGTTGGCAAAAGCGAGTCGTTGTTAGGGCTTTTTATTTGTGCGGAAAAAAAAATAGGTATCCACCTCAACCATCTTAGTTAGTGCACGCTCCGATTTCCCCCTCACGTTGCCGGTCTCGTGTTACAACCCGTTCACCCGCAGCACTTACGTTAGTGAACAATCGTCGCGTTACTCGCGCCTTGCTTTCAAGCTCGCGTCGCACAAGATGCTCTTTTCACACTTGCTGCGGTTCAGCCTCGCGACTCGATCGTACCGTTTTAGGCACGGGTCGCTCACGCGAATGCCGTACAGGGTCGCCAGACGCGCGCTGCCGTTAGTCTCATATGTTCCCCCTCGTCGGCCGCTCTTTCCCACGTCATACCGCTTTCCTCGTCGCCCGCAATTTCCCTCATCTCCCTCGCCGACCCTCGCCGCCCTCGCCTCTGCTTGTCGCCCGCACTTCCCGTCGTCGCCCTTGCTTCCCCGTCGCCCGTGCTTCCTGTCGTCACCCTTGCTTCCCCGTCACCCATGCTTCCCGTCGTCGCCCTTGCTCTCCCGTCACCCGCGCTTCCCGTCGTCGCCCTTGCTCTCCCGTCACCCGCGCTTCCCGTCGTCGCCCTTGCTTCCCCGTCACCCGCGCTTCCCGTCGTCGCCCTTGCTTCCCCGTCACCCGCGCTTCTTCTCATCTCTCGCTCTCCTCCTCAACGTCTTCGTTTTCCTCGCGCCATATCGCCCTCGCTTCTGCCCGTCGCCCTCGCCTCCCCACATACCCGCCTCCATCTCCCCCACATACCACCCGCCTTCCTCCCCACATTCTATTCCGCTTGTCATACGCTCTTCTCCTCTTCCTCCCTTCCATCTCTCCCTCCTCCCTCTCCCTCTCTCTATCTCTCTTTCTTCGAACCTCTCTCTCACCCTTTCTTCCACCCTTCTTCCTCCTGAGGGGAAGGGACTGAATGAGAGACACAGAGGGGATAGGACAGAAGGGTATGCAGATGTTCGTTTCCCCCACGCGCTTCCCCTCATCGCCCTCACTTCCCCCAAATTGTTGCCCCCTGTCTCTGTTTTTCCCAACCACCCGTTCTCCCACCAGCCCTGCTTCCCCCTTTGCCCTGATTCCTTCCACCCTCTGCCCTGCTCCCCCCCATCCCCTTCCCTGCTTCCCCCCACCCTCTGCCCTGCTCCCCCCATCCCATTCCCTGCTTCCCCCCACCCTCTACCCTGCTCCCCCCCATCCCCTTCCCTGCTCCCCCCCACCCTCTGCCCTGCTTCCCCTCATCCCATTCCCTGCTTCTCCCCACCCCCTGCCCTGCTTCTCCCCATCCCCTTCCCTGCTTCCCCCCATCCCCTTCCCTGCTTCCCCCCATCCCCTTCCCTGCTTCCCCCCATCCCCTTCCCTGCTTCCCCCAATCCCCTTCCCTGCTTCCCCCCATCCCCTTCCCTACTTCTCCCCATCCGCTTCCCTGCTTCCCCCCATCCCCTTCCCTGCTTCCCCCTACCCTCTGCCCTGCTCCCCCCCATCCCTTTCCCTGCTTCCTATGTTGGCAGATACGCTCATGAAAGGCTGGCGTATCACGTATATTCGCTAGCGTATATGCGTGATACGCTGATACGCTCTGAATTCGCGAAAAATACGGCCGGGCAGCCCGGCGAAAAAAAATAATCCGAAATTGAAAAACTTCGCAACGATGTGCGAAGTCGCGAAGTGTTACCGCGACTTCGCTCATGTGCCCAACCCCACTTCTGAACTTCGAATTTCAAAATCCAAACTTTCCCACCCCCTCAACCACACATCACCCCACCCAACCTCTCAATCCCAACCACCCCCTTCAAATGTGCTTCCATCGTTTGCACGTATAGGTCGACGTTGCGCAAATGCTCTTCCATTTCCTTCCCGCATTTCTCCACTCTTCTTCGTTAGTTAGACTTACGTAGTGCGCCATGGCGTCAGGCTCAGCCCCTAGTACTTCGACGAACAACAATCCAGCCTCTGTCCATGACTCTACTACCGTCAACACGGATCCTGTTGAGGCTGGACTATCTCACCCCATTCTGAAACATTTCCTCATTCCGTTTCACACCAAAGGCAACCCCAAGCTGTGCAAGTTCTGTGGCAAGAAGTTTGAGGGCGGAACATTATAGCTTATGCATATTGTGTAGGCTATAGTGGGGTAGCCCATAAGGGGTACAACCCAATTAGGGTTAGTACTTGTACCCAACTCTTTCATAGTTGATTCATCCTCGTTTTCATTCTAACATGGAATTAGAGCAGGTCCCCTCCTAGGGACTGTTTCTTGGGCCCACCGAAGCGCGCCCCGAGGCGCGTTTTTTTTTTTTTTTTTTAGCGACCCGTAGTGTCGCCCTCCCCCCCTCCCAGCGGCCCATTGCGCCGCCTTTCGGTCGCGGCCCCGCCGCCCTACTCTAGCGGCCCCGCCGCCCTACGTCGCGGCCCCGCCGCCCTACCCTTCGACGGCGCCGCCGCCCTAAGTCGCGGCCCCGCCGCCCTACTTCGACGGCCCCGCCGCCCTACGTCGCGGCCCTGCCGCCCTACCCTACGTCGTGGCCCCGCCGCCCTACCCTTCGACGGCGCCGCCGCCCTACGTCGCGGCCCCGCCGCCCTACTTCGACGGCCCCGCCGCCCTACGTCGCGGCCTCGCCGCCCTACTTCGACGGCCCCGCCGCCCTACCCTACGTCGCGGCCCCGCCGCCCTACCCTTCGACGGCGCCGCCGCCCTGCGTAGCGGCCCCGCCGCCCTACTTTGACTGTCCCGCCGCCCTACGTTGCGGCCCCACCGCCCTACGTTGACGGCCCCGCCGCCCTACGTCAAGGCCCCGCCGCCCTACCCTACTTCGCGGCCCCGCCGCCCTACCCTACATCGACGGCCCCGCCGCCCTACTCAGCGGCCCGCCAGCCGCCCTACCTGCGGCCCACCCGCCGCCCGACCGCCGGGTCGCCCAGCCGCTGAGCCGCCGAGCCGCCCAGCAGCCGACTGCCGAGCCGCCGAGCCGCCGAGCAGCCAAGCCGCCGAGCCGCCTAGCAGCCGAGCAGCCGAGCCGCCGAGCAGCCGAGCCGCCCCGCAGCCGAGCCGCCGAGCAGCCGAGCCGCCCCGCAGCCGAGCCGCCCCGCAGCCGAGCCGCCCAGCAGCCGAGCAGCCGAACCGCCGAGCAGCCGAGCCGCCCCGCAGCCGAGCCGCCGGCCGCTGAGCTGCCCTACTTCCATACGGCCCGTTCTACCCAGCCTGGTGAGCAAAGAGCCTTCTTTTTCACTGCGCTGCCCTCACCCTACTGCTTGCACTGCTAGGCGTCTGTCGTCATGGCTACCCCCAGTGTCCTCGCTTTTGACGCTGAGGGTCGGGCCATTGACTTTGAGGTCTGGGTAGATGACCTCCAGTTGTTCTTACAGTGGGATAGGGCAGACGGCCTCTCTCTCTTTGACCTTACCTCTGGCGCTTCCCCTGCCCCTGCTGCTGATGCTGACCCTACTGTTCGCTCCCAGTGGGCTACGCGCGATGCTGCTGCACGTCTTGCTGTGCGTCGCCACCTCCCTACCTCTGAGCATGCGCACTTTAGTCAATACAAGAGTGCTCAGACCTTGTATGACGCTGTCGTTGCGCGCTACTCCTCCCCTGCCACTGCTGCACTGAGCCGCCTCATGCTACCCTTCCTCTTCCCTTACCTTGCCGCCTTTCCCACAGTCGCTGATCTCATTACGCATCTCCGCACTAGTGACACCCGCTACCGCGCTGCGCTTCCTATTGACTTCTGCGCCAAGAACCCCCCCCCCCATGTACATCACTCTCTACTTTTTAGTCACCCGCCTCCCCGACTCCCTTCGTGTAGTCCGGGACCACTTCCTCACGGTCTGTCCCACCACTTTCACAGTCGACAGCCTAGAGAAGGCCCTCCTAGCGGCGGAGAAGAGCATCGTCGCTGTTGGGGCCTCTCGAGGTGACCCCCGCGCCCCCATCTTTGAGGGGTGTTCTCCTTCCCCTCTCTTGCCCTCTATCGCCTCTTCCGCTGCGGCCGACCTCGTTGGTCTTGAGTCGGTCGGTGCGGCGTCTTCCCCTAGCGGGAGACGTCGCCCTGGCAAAGGCAAGGGGGGCAAGGGAGCGGGTGGGGCTAGCGGGGGTGGTGGCGGTGGAGGTGGAGGCGGCGGAGGGAGTGGGGGTGGCGGTGGAGGAGGTGGCGGGGGTGGGGGTGCTAGTGGCAGCAGTGGTGGCGGAGGCGGCGTCGGCGGCGGCGGTACCGGCGGGGGTGGCGGCGGTGGCGGAGGTGGAGGCGGTGGAGGAGGAGGTGGTGGAGGTGGTCGGAGTGGCACTTCACAGCGGAGCGGCACTGGGGGTGGTCAGCGCCAGCAGCAGCAGCAGCGTTCTCGCGACGTCCCCACCCCTCAGCGGCTCCGTGAGTGGTACACGCAGCGTCAGCGTGGTGGGGGACTTGGTCCCTGCACCTACGTCCTTCGCACCGGCGACCGCGCGGGTGAGCAGTGTGGGGGTGCCCACCCCACCCAGCGCTGTTTTGGCCGCCTGACAGACGCTTGGCGTCAGCAGTTTCCGGAGGCCACGGAGATCCCCCGCTGGGGAGAGCTGTCTAGGGCTGGCGTGGCTATCTTTGATCTTGACTTTGATGCTATCCTTGCTGCCATGTATGCTGTGACTATTAGTGATGAGGGTGACTGTTACCGGTGTTTCCCGCCCGACCCGGGCATTGGTACTACTGCGCTAGGTGCTTGTGAGGCTACTGCTCTAGGTGCCAGTGCGTCTGCGCTCTCAGGTACTAGTGAGGCTGCGCTCTCAGGTACTAGTGAGGCTGCTATCTCAGGTACCGCGTCGGCTTCGGCCTCCCTCACCTTCACACTTGACTCAGGGGCTTCTCGCTCCTTCTTTCGAGACCGCACCACACTCACGCCGCTTGGTCGGCCGGTTGCAGTCTCCCTGGCTGACCCCTCTGGGGGTCCTGTCCTCGCTAACTTCTCCACTGTCCTCCGTCACTTCTCCACTGTCCTCCCGTGTCCGGCTGCCCCCTCGGGCACCCTGTCGGGTCTGTACCTACCCTCGTTCTCGACGAACTTGGTGAGTGGTGCTGACCTGCAGGATGCGGGGGTTCACCAGTTTACTCCTGCGAGTCAGCGGGGGACCCACTGCTCGGACGCCCGCACAGGCCGACACCTAGCCACCTTTTCGCGTCGGCCCGGGTCTAGTCTCTACACCCTGACCATTGAGTCTCCTCCAGTCCCTGCGTCTGGCCAGGTAGCTGCGTCGGGTCAGGTGTTTGCTGCTGCGTCCAGGTCTGGTCTTGAGTCTGCCCCCTGCTCGTGTCGCCTCCTGTCTCACGAGACTCTCTTGTGGCACCCCGTCTTGGCCACCCCTCCTTGCCTCGTCTTCGGGGCATGGTTTCCCGTGTCCTTGTCTCTGGTCTCCCCCGGTCTCTCCCTCCCCTTCCTTCGGGGCCAGGACCTTCCTGTGTCCCCTGTGTCGAGGGGCGGCTCCGGGCTGCCCCTCACTCCTCCCAGTTTCCCCCGACAGAGGCTCCTCTGCAGACGCTTCATATGGACGTGTGGGGCCCGGCCCGCGTCCGTGGACAGGGTCACGAGCGCTACTTCCTGCTGGTGGTTGACGACTACTCGCGTTACACCACAGTCTTCCCCTTGCGCAGCAAGGGTGATGTCATTGAGGTGTTGATCGACTGGATCCGCGCGGCTCGTCTCCAGCTCAGGAGGAGCTTCGGCTCGGACTTTCCTGTTCTGCGTTTGCACTCTGACCGAGGCGGAGAGTTCTCCTCTGGCCTTCAGCGAGCCTACTGTCGTGCACGAGGCATCCGCCAGACCTTCACGCTTCCGGACTCTCCACAGCAAAATGGGATTGCTGAGCGCCGCATTGGCATGGTCATGGACGTCGCTCGTACGTCCACGATGCATGCGGCTGCCCCCCATTTTTTGTGGCCATTTGCGGTGAGGTACGCGGCGCATCAGCTCAACCTTCACCCCAGGGTCTCCCGGCCGGAGACCTCCCCAGCTCTGCTGTGGACGGGGAAGGTCGGCGATGCGTCTGCGTTCCGTGTCTGGGGATCTCGGGCGTTTGTCCGTGACCTGTCTGCGGACAAGCTGTCCCCTCGTGCTGCTCCCTGTGTCTTCCTAGGCTTCCCCCCTGACTCCCCAGGGTGGCAATTCTACCACCCCTCCTCTCGTCGTGTTCTGTCCTCCCAGGACGTCACGTTCGACGAGTCAGTCCCCTTCTACCGCCTCTTCCCCTACCGCACTCCTTCCCTCCCGCCGCCGCCGCACTTCCTTGTACCAAGGTCCCCCCCCGGTAGACCCCCTTCCCCCTCAGGGTCCTGCCCCTTCAGGTGTGTCCCAGGTCGATGCAAGCGAGCCGGTCGAGGTTGCTGGTGACTCAGGTACTGCTGGGGGTGCTGAGTCTGGGGGTGCTTAGCCTGGGGGTGCTGAGTCTGGGGGTGCTGAGCCTGGGGGTGCTGAGTCTAGGGGTGCTGAGCCTGGGGGTGCTGAGCCTGGGGGTGCTGAGCCTGGAGGTGCTGCCTCTGGGGGTGCTGAGCCTGGAGGTGCTGACTCTGAGGGTGCTGCGCGCGTGGGTGCTGAGCCTGGGGGTGCTGGGCCTAAAGGTTCTTCGGGTGTTTCATCTCGGCGGGAGCCACTCTCTCCACAGGAGCTGCGTGAGTGGTTTGCTCGCCGCTGGAGGCGTACTGCTGGAGCTGGCGCTTCTTCGGCCGCTGAGGGTGCTGGTGCCACCGGTCCCGGAGCTGCTGGGCCTGCGGGTCCGCCTGGAGCTGGAGCTGCTGAGGATGTTGGTTCTGAGACTACTACTGTACGTCCTGGTGGTGGTCGTGCTGCGGGTACTCCTGGCGCTACTGGAGGTCCTGCCGCTGGAGGTGCTGTTGGCGCTGGTGCTGCCGGAGGTGCTGAGGGTGCTGGTGCTGTCCGTGCTGTGTCTGGTGCCGCCGCACAGCCTCGGCCGTACTTCGTTCCGCTCCTTTAGCAGGTTCTTGGTCTTCCTCCTCTCTTAGAGGGTCCCCCGCGTGTCCAGTCGCACTCACAGTTACCGCCGGCCTCCCCACTGCCTTCTCCGTCTCCGTACACTGGTCCTACTGGTGGTCTTGCTGAGCGTCGTGAGCCTGCGTCTCAACCTGCGTCGCCTGTTCGTGCTGCTCGCACTAGTGGTTCGCAGTTCACGTCAGCGTCCTCTTCCTGTCCCTGGCACGCACCGGATGTCTCTGCATCCGTCCACTGCTCCTTTGCGTGCCCCTTTGCCCTCTCCTCCTAAGTCCTCTCTTCCTACGCTTGCCGACCCTGAGTCGGACTCTCTTCGTGCTGCCAGTCCTACTGTCACGCGTCTCCTTGCTACTGTCGTCACTGACCCCTTCTTTGAGTCCACTACTGCGTCTGCTCTTGTTGCTGAGCTCGTCGACTTCGCTGCTCGCTGTCGTCTAGACTACGCTGCTAGTCTTGTTGCTGAGTCTGCGTCTGTCTGTCCTTCGTCCGTCGGGGGTGAGTGTGCTCTTGGCACGGACGTCCTAGAGGACAGGCAGGAGGAGTTTCAGTGTCTGGCTGCTGCTTCACCTCATCTCGCGTCTGTACTGCTTGCCCCTGAGGGAGACCCGGATGCACTAGACATCCCGACTCCGCGCTCTTACGCGGAGGCCGTAGAGGGTCCCTACTCCTCTCAGTGGCAGGCAGCTATGGATGCAGAGATGGCTTCCTGGAAGTCCACAGGCACCTATGTTGACGAGGTTCCCCCTCCTGGGGCGAACATTGTCAGTGGGATGTGGATCTTCAGGGTGAAGCGGCCGCCGGGCTCTCCACCTGTCTTCAAGGCGCGGTACGTGGCTCGTGGCATCAGTCAGCGGCAGGGAGTTGACTACTTTCAGACCTTCTCTCCCACCCCGAAGATGACCACTCTTCGGGTGCTGCTGCACATAGCCGCTCAGCGCGACTACGAGCTCCACTCTCTTGACTTCAGCACTGCTTTCTTGTAGGGTAGCCTGCACGAGGAGATCTGGCTCCGCCGTCCACCTGGCTTCACTGGGACTTTCCCTCCTAGCACCCAGTGGAGCCTCCGACGGCGAGTCTACGGTCTCCGCCAGGCACCACGTGAGTGGCACGACACACTGAGGACTACGCTTGTGGCTCTTGGATTTGCTCCCTCTACTGCTGACCCGTCGTTGTTTCTGCGCACCGACACTTCTTTGCCGCCGTTCTACATCCTCGTGTACGTCGACGACTTGGTCTTTGCCACAGCGGACACTGCTGGACTCGCCTACGTGAAGTCCGAGCTGCAGAAGAGACACACGTGCATAGACCTGGGTGAACTGCGCAGCTACCTTGGCTTGCAGATCACTTGGGACAGAGCACGCCGCACCATTACCTTGACTCAGTCACACATGGTGCAGCAGGTCCTTCAGCGCTTCGGCTTCACGTACTCCTCGCCTCAGGCCACTCCCCTGTCTACTCGCCACTCGCTCTCAGCTCTGCCTTCGGATGAGTCCGTAGAGTCGAGTGGCCCGTTTGCAGAGCTTGTTGGCTGCCTCATGTACCTGATGACCTGCACACGACCTGACCTTGCATACCCTCTTAGCATCTTGGCACGCTATGTTGCTCCTGGGAGACACCGACCAGAGCACATGGCTGCAGCAAAGAGGGTGTTGCGCTACTTGTGCAGTACGTCGGGCATGGGGCTAGTGCTTGGAGGGCGGAGTCCAGTGGTCCTCACTGGGCACGCGGACGCTTCTTGGGCTGACGACCAGGCTACGCAGCGGTCGTCGCAGGGTTACACCTTCAGCCTTGGTTCCGGCTCTGTTTCGTGGCGGGCTACTCGCTCGTCTTCTGTTCTCGACTCCAGTTGTGAGGCTGAGATCTACGTCGGGGCCATGGCTGCTCAGGAGCTTCGCTGGCTCACCTACCTGCTGACTGACCTTGGAGAGCCTCCTCGTTCTCCTCCAGTGCTGTACGTAGACAACAAGGCCATGCTGGCCTTGTGTCCAGAGCAGCGCCTGGAGCATTGAACGAAGCACATTGCTCTCCGCTACTTTCTTGCTCGTGAGCTGCAGCAGCGTGGTCAGTTGCGACTTGCGTACGTGGCCTCTGAGGCCAACACTGCTGATGTTTTCACCAAGGCACTTCCGCCTTGTGATCATCAGCGTTTCTGTACTCAGCTGGGACTTGTCCCAGTCTTGCCTCACTTGCTCACCTCTTGACCTTACTTGTACTCTTGCATATATATATATACCTGCTCTTGCTTGTTTAGACTTATATATATATATATATATGTGCACTCCTGCATGTGAACTGGCCTTGTGGCCTTGACCTTGTGCTCGGACTGTGTGGTGACTTTGTGATCCACCCTGAGCTTGCTTTGCTTTGCTTTGCTTGACTGGTCTTGTGACCCCTCGTTCTCCCCCACTTTGCCTATGGGGGTGTGTCAGAACATTATAGCTTATGCATATTGTGTAGGCTATAGTGGGGTAGCCCATAAGGGGTACAACCCAATTAGGGTTAGTACTTGTACCCAACTCTTTCATAGTTGATTCATCCTCGTTCTCATTCTAACAGAGGGCGGAACAAACCGCTGTGCAATCCATCTCGCGACATCGAAAGGGCAGGAGAAGCGCGCTGTGGCGTTATGCAAGGACGCGCCCACGGCAGTCCGCGATGAAGTCCGTGGCATGTACGAGACCAAGGCGGAACAGCAGGACTTGAAGCGAGGGGCGGCCGCTGCTACAATTCACTCCACGCTTGACGATGTCAGTGGAAACCCGGAGAAAAATATCAAAATTACGGATTTATTTGGCAATGAGGCGACGTGCGCCAAGGAGGACGCGGATAACGCGCTTTGCCTTCTATTCGCGGCGCTGAGACTTTCGGAGCGCATTGCGGACGATCCGGTCTTCCGCTACGCGGTCCTGTGCATTGCGCGCGCTGGACCTGGGTACGTCCCTCCTAAGAGGCGCTACATTGGAGGGGCAGGCTTGAAGAAGGTGCGGCGGAAAATAGAGGTCGCGTTCGCCCCCGTTGCCGCGAGCTGGAAGCGGGACGGGGTAACGGTGTCGTCGGACATGATGACCGACCGTTGTGGCCGCCCGCAGGCCAACGTGCTCCTTGTCAACGACTCCGGCGCAGTTTTCGAGCTGGCGGTGGACTGCAACATGGAGTCGAAGACCGGGGGGGACCATCGCCAGCCTTCTCCGCCCCGTCATTGATAAGGTGGGGCCGGAGAATGTGGTGGCGGTCTGCACCGATGGCGGCAGCAACTATGCATCGGTCGCCAAGAAGATTACGAGCACATGGCCGCACATTGAGCATGTGCCATGTGCCACGCATGTCCTGGACCTGATGATGGAAGATATTGGCAAAATGGGATGGGCGAAGGGGCTTGGGGAGAAAGGAGGGGAGATGATTACCTTCGTGCGCAACCACCACTGCACCCGTGCCTATATGAAGAAAGTGGGGGGGAAGCAGGTGCTCAAGCCTGCGGGAACCAGGTTCGGGACACAATACATAGCCATGGCCCGGCTATGTGAGGTGAGGAGTGGGCTGGCGGCGATGGTGCTCAGCGACGAGTGGAAGGTGTGGGCAGCGGCGGACAAGGATAGGAAGACAGCAGCTGAGAAATTCAGGGCTGCTGTGATGGATGAGGAGTGGTGGGGGGTGGCGGAGTTTCTTTACCTCTCTCATGGCGGTGCCATTCAAGGTCATGCGGGCCACGGACTCTTCCGCGAAAGGCATGATGGGTAAGCTGTATGGCATCATGCTACAGCTTACCGAGGACATCAATGACAAGCTCGACGCTTCAAGTGACTTCTTGACTCGAACAGAGAGGGCAGACATCACCAAGATTGTGAAGGACAGGTGGGACAACTCCCTTGCATGCCCCATGCATGTGGTTGGCCGGATCCTGAATCCGGCCAACCAGGAGGAGGGAATTTTCAGGAACGATGTGGAGTGCACGCGGGTGTTCAAGGACTACATCGAGCGCCACTATGACAACAAGACCTTCAAGCGTGGCAAGGATGGCGCCCCTCGCCGCGCCTCCCTTATGCTGCAGGAGGCATTGCTGGCCTACATCAACATGGAGGGCAGCTTTGGCAAGCGGGGCGCCATTTCTACAAAGGAGGCAGTGAAGAAGGGGGAGATGAGCATGGTGCAGTGGTGGTCGTGGCACAGCACCGAGTATCCTGAGCTTGCCGCCCTCGCAGGCCGGGTGCTCACTCAGCCCGTCTCGGCTTCCCCATGCGAGCGTGGCTGGGCGCAGTGGGAAGGCGTCCACACCGCCCGCCGCAACCGGCTCGGGTCCGCCAAGTGTGCGGACCTCGTCTAAATTGCGCACAACTGGAACGTTGTGCGCAATTGGTACAAGAAGGATGGGGGCAGCACGGTTGTGCCCGGTAACATCCCGGATGCCCCTATCCCCCCCGGCTATAACATGGATGAGGAGGAGGATGACATGCTGGGGGAGGAAGGAGAGGATGCAGTGCTGGCGGATGAGTATGGGGAAGGTGTGGTGGCGGAAAAGCCCCGCAAGGAAATCGGTTGTGGGGAAGCTAACTAGAGGGTGGGGTGGGGTGGGGATGTATGGGGAGTAGCCCCAAATATGTATTTCTGGATATTTATGAAATTTAAATTATGACTTGTGTTCTTGGAAAACAATTCCCCCCCCCCTGAAACATGAATTTTTAGCCCTGCCCGGGAAAAAAGTTTTACCTGCCCGCCCAGCGTATTTTTGCGTATCACCAGCACGCCAGCCCTGGCGTACCGCGTATAATACGCTAGCGTATTATACCCTGGGACGCGTATCTGCCAACGTAGCCTGCTTCCCCCCATCCCCTTCCCTGCTTCTCCCCATCCCCTTCCCTGCTTCCCCCCATCCCCTTCCCTGTCTTCGTGTTACCCGTTTCCTTGTTCCTTTTCCCTGTGTCTCTGTCAGAACATTATAGCTTACTTATTTGTGTAGGCTATAGTGGGGTATCCCATAGGGGGTACAACCCAATTAGGGTTTCCTATTTGTACTCACTTCGTTCATAGTCATTCCATTCTCGTTCGTTTCTTCTCATGGTATCAGAGCAGGTCCCCTCCTAGGGACTGTTCCTAGGGCCCACCGAAGCGCGCCCCGAGGCGCGCATTCTTTTTTTTAGCGACCCTACGTGTCGCCCTTACCTTCGTGATCCCGCCGCCCTTTCGTCTCGGCCCCGCTTAGACCCCACTACGGCCCCGCGTCGGCCCCGCTTAGGCCCCGTCGGCCCCACTTAGGCCCCACTACGGCCCCTCGTCGGCCCCGCTTAGGCCCCACTACGGCCTCGCTACGGCCCCGTCGGCCCCATCGGCCCCGCCTAGGCCCCGCCGACCCTGCTACGGCCCCGCTACAGCCCGTCGTCGGCCCCGCTACGACCCCGCTACGGCCCCGCTTAGGCCCTGCTGCAGCCCCGCTACAGCCCCCATTGCGGCCCCGCCGCCCGTGCTGCAGCCCGCCGCGCCACCCGTACAGCCGCCCGTGCGCCGCCTGTGCACCCGCCCGTGCAACCGCTCGTGCAGCCGCCCGTGCAGCCGCCCGTGCAGCCGCCCACCGTGCCGCCCGTGAGCCGCCCGTGCAGCCGCCCGCGCCGCCCATGAGCCCCCACGTCACCCGAGCCGCGCGAGCCGCCCGAGCCGCCCGAGCCGCCCGAGCCGCGCGAGCCGCCCGAGCCGCCCAAGCCGCCCGATCCGTCTACGGTGCCGGGAGCCGGATCCTGTGGGACTGCTGCTACTCCTGGGCCGGCGGAGTTGCTGAGCTGCTGTGTTGTAGTCCTACTGAGCTGCGCGACCCTTCTTCTCTGGTGAGACTGTCGGCTGCTATCATGGCCACCCCCAGTGTCCTGACCTTTGACGCTGAGGGTCGCTGAGTCCCTTCGTGCTGTTAGGGACCAGTTTCTCTCTGTCTGTCCCACCACCCTCACTGTCGACCTCCTCGAGAAGTCCCTGCTAGCGGCCGAGAAGAGCATAGTCGCTGTAGGGGCCTCTCGTGGTGACCCACGCACCCCCATCTTTGAGGGGTGTTCTCCTTCCCCCCTGCTACCCTCTGTCGCCTCTGCTGCTGCGGCCGACCTCATTGGTTTAGAGTCGGTCGGTGCGGCGTCTGCCCCCAGCGGTAGGCGCCGCTCTGGCAGGAGCAAGGGGGGCAAGGGAGCGGGTGGAGCTAGCGGGGGCGGTGGCGGAGGAGGTGGGGGCGGCGGGGGGAGTGGGGGTGGCGGTGGGGGTGGAGGCGGGAGTGGAGGTACTGGTGGCGGCAGCCGAGGCGGAGGTGGCGGCGGCGGTGGTGGCGGAGGTGGCAGTGGGAGCGGCGGGGGCGAGGGTGGCGGTGGCGGCGGTGGCGGCGGAGACGGGGGTGGCGGTGGCGGAGGTGGTTGGAGTGGCTCGTCCCAGAGGAGCAGTACTTGGGGTGGTCAGCGCCAGCAGCAGCAGCAGCACCAGCAGCAGCAGCAGCAGCAGCAGCAGCAGCACCAGCAGCAGCAGCAGCAACAGCAGCAGCAGCAGCAGCAGCAGCGCTCTCGCGACGTCCCTGCCCCTCAGCAGCTCCGTGAGTGGTACTTGCAGGGGCGTTCGGTCCCTGCACCTACGTCCTTCGCACCAGCGACCGCGCGGGTGAGCAGTGTGGGGGCACCCACACCGCTCGCCGCTGCTTTGCCCGCTTGACCGACGCTTGGCGCCAGCAGTTTCCGGAGGCCTCTGAGATCCCCCGCTGGGGAGAGCTGTCTAGGGCTGGTGTAGCTGTTTTTGATCTTGGCTTTGATGCTATCCTTGCTGCCATGTATCCTGTGACTGTTAGTGATGATGGTGAATGTTACCAGTGTTTCCCGCACGACCCGGGCATTGGTACTGCTGCGTCAGGTGCCAGTGAGGCTGCTGCTCTAGGTGCCAGTGCGTCTGTGCTCTCAGGTACTGGTGAGTCTGCCATCTCAGGTACTGTGTCGGCTTCTGCCTCTCACACCTTCACCCTTGACTCTGGGGCGTCTCGCTCCTTCTTTTGGGACCGCACCACTCTCACGCCGCTTAGTCGGCCTGTTGCGGTGTCCCTGGCTGACCCCTCTGGGGGTCCTGTCCTGTCTCGTTTCTCCATAGTCCTCCCGTGTCCGGCGGCTCCCTCTGGCACCCTGACTGGTCTTTACCTCCCCTCGTTCTCCACGAACCTGGTGAGTGGTGCTGACCTACAGGATGTGGGTGTCCACCAGTTCACTCCTGCTCGTCAGCGGGTGACACACTGCACAGAGGCTCGCACAGGTCGCCACCTGGCTACGTTTACACGTCAGCTAGGGTTGAGCCTGTACACACTGACCACTGCTTCTCCTCCCGGTGCTGAGTCTGGTAGAGTCCCTTCGTCTGGTCAGGTGTTTGCTGCAGCGTCCAGGTCTGGTCCTGAGTCTGCCCCCTGTTCGTGTCGCCGTCTGTCTCACGAGAATCTCCTCTGGCACCACCGCCTTGGCCACCCCTCTCTGCTTCGGCTCAGAGGCATGGCCTCCCGTCTTCTTGTGTCTGGTCTCCCCCGGTCCCTCCCTCCCCTTCCTCAGGGCCCTGGCCCTGCCTGTGTCCCCTGTGTCGAGGGGCGCCAGCATGCTGCCCCTCACTCCTCCCAGTTTCCTCCGACAGAGGCTCCGTTGCAGACACTTCACATGGACGTGTGGGGCCCTGCCCGCGTCCGTGGACTCGGTCACGAGCGCTACTTCCTGTTGGTGGTTAACGACTACTCGCGTTACACCACAGTCTTCCCCTTGCGCAGCAAGGGTGATGTCACTGAGGTGCTGATCGATTGGATCCGCGCAGCTCGTCTCCGGCTCAGGTAGAGCTTTGGCTCGGACTTTCCTGTGTTGCGTCTGCACTCGGACAGAGGCGGAGAGTTCTCCTCTGGCCTTTTGTGTGCCTTCTGTCGTGCGCGAGGCATCCGCCAGACCTTCACGCTTCCGGACTCACCGCAGCAAAATGGGATTGCAGAGCGCCGCATTGGCATGGTCATGGACGTCGCTCGTACGTCTATGATGCATGCGGCTGCCCCCCATTTTCTGTGGCCGTTTGCGGTCAGGTACGCGGCGCATCAGATCAACCTCCACCCCAGGGTCTCCAGGCCGGAGACCTCCCCAGCCCTGCTGTGGACGGGGAAGGTTGGCGATGCGTCGGCGTTCCGGGTCTGGGGATCTCGGGCGTTTGTCCGCGACTTGTCTGCGGACAAGCTGTCCCCTCGCGCTGCTCCCTGCGTCTTCCTGGGATTCCCCCCCGACGCCCCTGGGTGGCAGTTCTACCACCCCACCTCTCGACGTGTTCTGTCCTCCCAGGACGTCACGTTCGACGAGTCGGTACCCTACTACCGCCTCTTCCCCTACCGCACTCCGTCCCTCCCCCCGCCCCCGCTCTTCTTGGTACCAGGTCCCCCCCCCGGTAGACCCCCTCCCCCCTCAGGGTCCTGCCCCTTCAGGTGTGTCCCAGGTAGACGCGGTCGAGCCTGTCGAGGTCACTGGTGACTCTGGTGCTGCTGCGGGAGCTGAGCCTGGGGGTGCTGGGACTTGAGGTGCTACGCTTGGGGATGCTGAGCCTGGGGGTGCGGAGTCTGGAGGTACTGAGCCTGGGGGTGCTGAGCCTGGGGGTGTTGAGCCTGGGGGTACTGAGTCTGGGGGTGCTGAGCCTGGGGGTGCTGGGCCTGGGGGTGCTGAGCCTGGGGGTGCTGAGACTGAGGGTGCTGAGCCTGGAGGTTCTTCGCCTGGAGGTTCTCCGCCTGGAGGTGCTTCGTCTCGCCGAGAGCCACTCTCCCCACAGGAGCTACGTGAGTGGTTTGCCCGTCGTTGGAGGCGTGCTGCTGGTGCTGGAGGTTCTTCGGCTGCAGAGGGTGCTGCTGCCGCGCGTCCCGGAGGTGCTCGTGCTGTGGGTGCTGGAGCAACTGGGCCTGAGGGTTCTCCTGGAGCTGGTGCTGCTGAGGGTGTTGGCGCTGAGACTACTACTGGCGGTCCGACTGATAGTGCTCCTGGTACTGCTGGGGGTTCTGGGGCTACTGGAGGTGGTGCTGGAGCGGGTACTCTTGCTGGGGGTACTGGTGCTGTCCCTGCTGTTTCTGGCGTCGCCACGCTGGCCCCGACCGTACTTCGTTCCGCTCCTGCAGCAGGTTCTTGGTCTTACACCTTCTCCTGGTCCTCCTCCTCCTCCCTTAGAGGGTCCACAGCCTGTCCAGTCCCAGTCACAGCTACAGCCTGCCTCCCCTTTGCCTGCTCCTTCTCCCTACACTGGTCCTACTGGAGGTCTTACTGAGCGTCGTGAGCCTGCGTCTCGTCCTGCGTCGCCTGTTCGTCCTGCACGCACTAGTGGTCGCGGTTCACGTCAGCGTCCTCCTCCTGTCCCTGGCACGCACCGGATGTCTCTGCGTCCGTCTACTGCTCCTCTGCGTGCCCCTTTGCCTTCTCCTCCTGCTTCCTCTCTTCCTGCTCTTGCCGACCCGGAGTCCTACTCTCTTCGTGCTGCCAGTCCTACTCTCACGCGTCTCCTTGCTACTGCCGTCACTGACCCTTCGTTCGAGTCTTCTGCTGCGTCTGCCCTTGT